ACTGTATGTATAAAACAGCAGGAACAATTGGTTTCTGGAAAACGAATCACCAAACAGACATACTTGATGTAATAAATCACCAACTTCAAAATTTACTGCTAATGCACTAACAAGATACACTATGTTGTCATAATTTTCAAAATAGCAAATGACAAGAACATAAGAGAGAAAGTCACTCAATTAATATATAGACGAAACCCAAACTTAGGGAAATGTATTGATATAGAAATCATGCCAAGGATCGGCATAATAAAAACTTACAGATAATATATTGTCAATCTCATTTTGTACTCTCCAATTTAAACAATCAACCAACTGAAACAAAATACAGACGTCAGGTAGGTTATGTTGCATGCAGTGAAGAACTATTTGCAAGCAAAACATCAACAAAAGGACACTTGCACTATATAACTCTTACCATTTTATAGGCCTTGGAAGGATCCCAGTCCCTTGCTTTTAGAAACCGCACTAAGGTTTCGTCGACATATCCTTGATGAACATTCTGGCAAGTTATGAAATCCCAAAGGAGAGAAAACGAGAAGAAAGCTGTTATTTTATAGTTTCAGAATGCCAAAAAGTAATAGGAATCCACAATAATAAAGTAAGCACATGTTAATTGATTATTACTAAAAAATTCCTAGTTTTCATCAAACCTGAAATAAATAGTTGAATAATTATCTTAAATTATTAATTTGTAGCACTCCCACAGAAACAGAAAGAACTTATAATTATAACTAGTATTGTGTTAAGAATTAGAGTACTCCATACTTTACTAAATAGGTGAAAGCGTGAAATACAAGAAAGGTTATGTAGTTGAAACAATTAAGATAAAGAGAATTGAAATCAGATCTCATTTGGGAGACATTACGTGTCAAATATCCCGAAATATTAGAAGAGTGGAATCTATAGAAATCCAGGAATGATATATATGTATAACAAAATTGTACGATTTTACTTTTTGTGTGTCATTAATAAATATAATATATTAAATGAAGTAATAAAGAGATAAAAAGAAGAAGAGAAAAAAAAAAGTCAGTGAAAGATTTAGATTTTAGACATAGAAGTTACAAGAATTGCAAGGCCGACAGTATAAAAAATCCATTGAAAGACGACATGAAAACCTAGGAGATTTCATACAAGAACCCTATCCACACGGAGAGGAAGCGAACCAAATAATAGATTGCAATAATTGACAAAGAAGACCTAGAAAACGAAGGAGAGAGAAAGTAAGAGTGTAGTTGAAGATGAATGAAAAATGCAAAATGCTAACCTGAAACGTAGTCCGCAAAGGCTCCTCAACTACCATTGTTGGAAATTCGAAACAAGAAACACAAAACAACTCAGAACCAAAAAAAAAAAAAAAAAAAA